GAAGTGTGAACATGCTTCTATTATTGGTAGAAAAATCAGCCTGTTTGTTCGAGCCGCAGCAGAGAGATATGCAATTTTTTCTAACTCTAGTGACTTTCTGGACACCCTATATATCTATTTTTTTTCTTTCTCTCTATCTCTCTCTCTCTCTCTCTCTCGTTCAACCTTATGAACAAGTTTTTCCCCAGTTCAGTTGCTTATTTTTGTTATCGTGATCACTCGTATTCCATCATTAAATACATATTCATCATCTGGACTTATATTATTTTGTCGGTTATATCAATCTACAAGTTAAAGTAGAATTACTAACATCACTAACCTAGCTAATACAGATCTTGGTTTTCTATTGATTCCTTCCGGCCTATTAACATTCAGTGGATAGGAGATTTTGGATGAAAGAGAAAACTAATATTTTTGGTGGAGAAGTTGGGCAACCTTTATTTGGTCTGTATTAGCTCCACTAACTATGCGCCTATACACCTATCTATATAACCAAAAATTTCTTTTCTTTTGTATTCAATTAATTTAACAGCTTGTATCATTATTTGAATCAAGCTATATTCATATTTTGGGTATTTCACTATCATTTAACTAATTTTCTTAAATACAAGGATATATAAGTCGTCCCTGTACTATATCCCAAATAACTCATATATCTGATCATTTTCAATTTAAATAAAGATATAAAAATGTCTGTTTCTGAATCGACAAATGAACTAACACGGACAGGAACGATTGATGAGGAATCCTTAATTGAATTAACTGAAAATAATACAATCTCCGACAATATTGTGATCGACAAAAAACGTCGACAATCTATTATACCTCTTTCCCATCAACCTAAACCAATTGATGCAACAAAGGTCTCTGACTTTGAATCGAATAACGGTGATAATGAGGATGAAGATGAATTTGATTCATTTATTCTTAATAATTTTAACTCGTTTTCAGGATCAGAAAATGTAATCGATCGGTTAGATAATATCGATAAAAAATTTAATTTACATAAAATTTTACGTAACCTTCGTTATATAGCTATACCTTTACTTGTTGAAGGAGATGCTAAAAGAAAATATTTTCGAAATAGAAATAACATAAAATCATACGACGACTTTTATGAATTTCTTTTCATTAACTATGATGTAATTGAACCTAATACACGTCGTTTTCAACCTAATCCATCATCATATTCATCAAATCAAAATAATTTTACACATAATCCATTAACACATAAAAATATATCGTTCGAAGATCAACAAAAAGCAACCACGAATAATTTTGATTTAACTGATAATTTGCCTCCACGTCCTATTTTAAGATCAACTGCTATGATTGATATTGGAGCCACCAGACTATCTGGTGATGAATCCGAAAATCGATCAACCATTGCACCTCCTCCTAACATCTCCTACAACACTTATAATCTCGATCAGACAACATAAGTAATTCATAAAGCAATCATAGATAATTTAATTTAAAATCCTAAAACGTTCCAAGGAGGAAAAGAAGATGTAAAGCAATGGCTAGAGGACATCGAACAACTTTTCGATACTGCTCAAATACCCGATAGTCATAAATTAGACTTAATTCCCTATTCCTTGCGAGGAGAAGCTCGTCGGTGGTACAAGAATACCAAAGCTACATTAACATCGTGGCAAATATTTGTAAAGGAATTGAAGGAAGCATTTCTCTCCCCCTTCCATGATGAATTAGCTTTTAAGGAACTTGAATCCTATACACAGGGTATCAATCAACCTGTGAGAAGTTTCTATAATAAAGTTTTAAAATTATGTAACGAAACAGATCCCGAAATGAGTGAATCAATGAAACTTCGAGATCTTCTTAAAAAGGCCAAACCTACACTTCAGTACGAAATAAGAAAGAAAAAACCAACAACTACTAAGCAATTTCTTGAATATGCTAAAGAATCAGAGGAGCTTCTTCAACTATCTAATATTGATATTGATGTTGATACATATGGTCGTAATAAATTTAATCCACCTAGCCAAACACCATCGACTGTAACATTAACACCATCAAATGCATCAAATCCACATATTGATACTACTCCTCTTCCTATCTATGATCGAAAGATAAATTATAATAATCACTATAATAGTAATAAATTTAACCTCAATCGAAATAATGATTATAATTTTCATCCTTCTCAACCATTTAATTCATCTCGATCGTTTAATTCATTCAGCTAGTCTTTTCGACGAAATAATTCATCATATCCATCTGATCGACCAACAAAATCTAATCAACAATTTCATTCAAACATTCAACGTACAAATTATAATTTTTGTCCGGTTCCATCAAATAATCAAACCAAATCATCATATCAACATAATAATAATACTGATAATATTAATCGAAATAATAATCAGACACATCAAGTTAATAACATCACCGCTGCTCATATTCCATTATCTTCTCAACCTACACCACTATTATTAGATTCTGATTCCTGTACACAATGTCTCCAGACGGGACATCAGGCATCTGCCTGTCCACGTTTTTAGTACCGGAGTCATCGCAAGATGGTGTTGACTCCGGAAAAACAACAAAAAATCCATCAGATCTATCTTTAATCTTTATAAATACTTTAGTCAACAATTATAATATGCAAATATTGATCGATACCGGAGCCACTAATACATTCATCAATTATAAGGCATTAAATTCTACTAAACAATGTACACATCTGAATAAACATTCCTCTTCTTTTGTTCTTGCTGATGGTATAGCTCCATTTCATGTCCTAGGTGTAGTTGAATTACAAATATTGTTTTCTAATCAAATAACTAAAATATCTGCTCATGTAGCTCGAAATCTATGTACTGATGTAATATCAGGAATGGATTATATAACTCTATACAATCTTAAATTTAATCTTCGTAAACAAATAACTTCCGTTGACTTGAACAACCGTCAATACCAAATGAATATCAATCAGAAGGTATAAACTGAATTTATTCCAGTTACCCTATCAGATCCATTATGTATTCCTCCTCAATCAAATCGTTCTGCTAAAGTATCTATTCCTATTTCATCCATTTGTTCACAATTCATTCCTCATTATCAATTTTCTCTATGTAACACGGCATTTGTTCCACATAAATTCCTTCAATTTCGTAATCATTTCTCTCATGTCACCTTGTCTAATACTTCACATCGGTCACACTTCGTTCCTCGAGGAACTCGTATTGGATATCTATGTCACTATTCTATAACTCCATGTAACACAAACAGTGCTAACTATTTCAATAAGTCATGTGGTGCCACCAATGATCTTGGTGAATTACCAGATTTTCATGCTTTCGATAATAATACGAGTACGGACAATCACATTCAAGATCATCTGTATTGTGATACAATTAACGAAATACATCCCTCAACTGAAAGAGATATTCATCAACTAATTAGTAAAATAAATATAAAACAACAGCGAGAAGATCTTCTTAAGGGGACCCCCCCCCTTTTCCTGAGCCAAAAACTTTTTTTCTTCGATTTTTTTTCATGTAAAGGTGTATTAAGGTCCCCTCTATGTGTGCTATAAAAATCGGAACCATCCAAGGTCTGGAAGTCTCTGAAAAACCAGGTTTTTTGGAGACATATGCATTTAAAAAAAAATTTTTTTTTTTAAATATAAATTTATATCATGATGTAATATATCTATCAGAGACCGTCACAGGGCACTTTTTTCTGCCCTGCCCTGCCCTGTGCCCTGCCTTACCTTGCCCTGTCCTGTCCTCAGGGCACAGATAAAAATAAAAATCCGCCCTGGTCCTGCCCTGCGGGCAGGGCAGGGCCTATACATTGAGCTTAGGTATGAGGGGAATTGATAACTTAGTGAAAACTTGTGTCGTTTTTATGCTGAGTAGTCGTATCTTTTTTCCTCGTTCGACAGACTATTATTCACGCAAAACAATAGAGAAAGAAATCGCATTAAAATCGATTCATTCCGATTGAAAGTCTATTAAAATGACTCTGTGATCCATCCGATTAAGATCCATGCTTTAATTCCAGTTCCAATTTTTCTATTTTCAAAGATTTTTTCAATTCTTTTTAATCGATTAATATGATTTGACAACTATTACTAATTAAGATTATTAATGAATCATAATTGATCAAAAAGATTTGAGAA